TAGCTCCCTACGAGTGGCTAATGGATGGAATCAAAGGCGGTTGCAGAGCGTGCATACACGAGGACTGCCAAATCCCCAGGGTACCGATACCGGTCAATGTCAAATACCTCTTTTGTCGCATCACTAGTATATCTCAAAGGACACGACAGGGCTGTTGTAGATTTTAAACGTTTTTCACCATAGCTGTAAAAATCGAAATATGTTAAACTTAAAAGTCATTTGTTTTCTAACTAATTCGTTTTAGGACCAGGTGTTGTCCACGGAAATTTCCAAAATTTACAACTTTTCGGTCACTCTCGTTGAACTGGAAAAATTTCTGTCTTTATTACATCTAATACAGTATTTCGAAGAAATCAGTTCTCACTGTACGCGGCTATAGATTGGTTCGGTTAAGTTTTTGTTTAAGTAATATTCCGGCCCTTTCGTCAGGGTTTTGTTCACGTCCCCAATTCCCTAAGCGCTTAATTATTTAACTATTTCTTAAGTAGAAATAAGTCGAAACCGGTTACTTTCTACTCGAATATTTGTAGTCTCGGGAAAAAGTGCAAAGACAAATTTTTATGACAAACGGATACATAAATCGTAAATTTAAGGAAAATAAATTCTAGAGCTTTTTCTGTACCTCGTGTATCTCTCTCATTCATTAAATTTAGTTGTAAATGACGCTGTCGAAGTAACGGTTAATTTTTTAACATTATACAGGAATTGTACACGTTTGTTTTCTACATCCTCTTAAAGATGGGACATACGAAATCGTAATATCACCGGTTTAACATTGAAATCCGTGAGTAATATAAAATCGGAGAGCGGAATAAATAGGCCCTATATCAAATATTTTAATAAATTTTTTAAATTCCTGTGAACTGTACAGAACTATCGTAAAAACATACCGGTAAATTCTTATCGGTTGAGTTAAGTTATAAATCTATTCGTTATTCACGTAATCGGCCAAATATCTAGCGGGCGGGCTGCTAACAGCCTAGAACCGGTCCCGGATAGAATTGGAAGCGTTATATGTGTAAGCATCAACCCAAGGTCGTAGGCTTCCACCGGCTAAACCGGGTGAGGTTGGTGGTCTGTAAAGCGCGTGCGCAAATCTGGGTTTTTGGAATCTGACAATACAGAGATTCCACTCCGCCACTAATATTCTAATACACAATAGCAATCTTATTTTTTTTCTCACGTGTAGTATAAAAATTTGTAATAAGATACATAATGCGGTTATAATAAAATATTGTGCGATTATTTTTATATAATTAAAATTAATATGTATTTATTTTTTAGAAAATACAAGGGAAGCGGCGCTTCCACCGCTTCTAATGACAGCACGCCACTGTATTCTAGTACAACTGACTGCGCTGAACCCGATCATATCACGCTGTACTTAGAAACCACTGCTACGAATTTGAAACAGGTATATCATAGACAATCGCATAAGATCAGAAAATGATGGATGAAGGATTGAGTGCAGTTTTTTGTAAGTGAAATGCATATAAGCTGGGATAGTTAGTTTGATTTCAAGATAACAGAGACGAAAGTGCTAACAAGGTTGGTGCTGGGTATAATAGAAAAACTGAGATTGAGAGAAAAAGAGATTACGCTCATTCAGGCATGGACCAGAGTAGTTTCATAATTTATGTTCGGAAAAGTAGAGTGATATGAGAAATAAGCTGAGGAAATGAAAGCGATTGGGTAAAGAGTGGAAATTAAAAGAGTGTTATGAAAACTTTTTAAAAGTTTGTTAAAAGCAAAAAAGAATATCTGATTAATTTTAATCGACTGCTCACAAATTGTAAGTCAACCCTACCTTTCTGGGGTATATTCGTAAAAGTGAAAGATAACAATGGATTGTATTTTGCGAATAATATCAAAATAAAATTTCAAAACGCTACTGTTTAGTTATAATTTAGATAAATAAATAATTTATTATTTATTTATCTAAATTAATAATAAATAATTTATTATTTATTTATCTAATTTATTTGTTATAAGACCTGGAATATATTCGGAATGTTGGAAAATAGGTCGAAAAATTTCAGCTTTTATATGAAGAGATTAAAAAATAACCAGAGGAATTATCGAGGATTATATAATGTTATTGAATACTATTAGTAAGTTTTTTTCGATGGTTCTTTGTAGTATTCTGGACTGAGAAAAAAAGAACTTATTTGATATGCAAGCCGGTTTTTGTAAAAGGTGTACTATAGTGGGGCATATATTTGTCTCGCGGAATTAGCTAAAAGAAAGAATGGAAAAACGAAATAAAGAAAGTATACATATACTTTGTGGACTACAGAATTGCATTTGACTCGGTAAACAATATAAAATTATGTAATAGGATATGAGACATGAATCTGAGCTATAAAATGGCGAATTTACTAAGTTCAATGTATACAAATAAGATTGCATTGAGGTTCTTTAGTGGAATGTCCGTGGAAAGTTTTTATTCTAACAAAGGAGTTCGCCAATGGTGTCTATTGAGCACATTACTGTTTTCTTTATATATATTGATAATTTAGTAATAAGATTGGATGAATTTATTGCCGAAAGTTAATGGTTTATGACTAGGCAATCTATACTAATATTATAAAGAGGTAATGTTTGTAAGTATGTATGTAAGTAAGTTTGTATGCAGCGGATAATCTCCGAAACTACTCATCCGATTTCAAAAATTCTTTCACCAATATTTAGAATGGAACTNGAAAAAAAGAACTTATTTGATATGCAAGCCGGTTTTTGTAAAAAGTGTACTACAGCGGGGCAAACAATTGTCTCGCGGAATTAGCTAAAAGAAAGAATGGAAAAACAAAATAAAGAAAGTATACATATACTTTGTGGACTACAGAATTGCATCTGACTCAGTGAACAATATAAAATTATGTAATAGGATATGAGATGAATCTGAGCTATAAAATGGCGAATTTACTAAGTTCAATGTATACAAATAAGATTGCATTGAGATTCTTTACTGGAATGTCCGTGGAAAGTTTTTATTCTAACAAAGGAGTTCGCCAATGGTGTCTATTGAGCACATTACTGTTTTCTTTATATATAATGATGATTTAGTAACAAGATTGGATGAATTTATTGCCGAAAATTAATGGTTTATGACTAGGCAATCTATACTAATACTGTATTATAAAGAGGTAATGTTTGTAAGAATGTATGTAAGTAAGTTTGTATGCAGCGGATAATCTCCGAAACTACTCATCCGATTTCAAAAATTCTTTCACCGATATTTAGAATGGAACTTCAGGGTGGATATAGGCTGTATATTATTCCGTTAAACATTCATATAAATTAAAATATATAATCTAGGTTAAGGCTTTTATTCCAACGAGTACGACTCCCTAAGTTTGCTTTTCTGTGAGGCATTATTCTTNTAATCTTCGCAAATATACTGTATATGATTGGGAGTAAGCTTATGGGTGTATAATTTTTACTATCCTCTTTGCTGTCTTTTTTATGGATGATATTATATTGGTGCTGTTCCAATGGTCTGAGATGCGTCTTGACCTTAAGAAATTTGATTTTTTAATTTTTAATGCATTTATGTAAATAAAAAAACTTATTTTAAAGTACAGTATTTTTAATAGTCTTTATTATATACTATATTCAAAAGCATTATCTTGTAATAAATGATATGATATTAGGACCTACTGTGTAGCTAAAGCTCATTTCTTTCTATTTTTCGAAATATTTATTTGTTAATTAATACAGGTAACGTTATAAAGAAACCAGATAAGAAGACAATATAAAATCGCACGATTAGAATAAACAAGAACACAATATATGACAGTAAAATACAAATCCAGTCACGAGTTGCGTAACTTTTCAGGAGAAACAATTATTTATGCTTAAGGGCGCATCCACACATTCGCTATTCGCTAAAAGACGAATATTGACCTTCGGCCAAATCATTTGCCGAAATGTGACTGGCCGAGCAGGAAGCTCCATGCATTCGATTATTCACAGTTCGATCGAGATCAAGAAAATGGACGATTCTCAGACGATATTTGTGCTATTGCTTCTGTATTTACGAGTAGTAAAACACAGAAAGAAGGTGGTGGATGGTGTCACTTCACAAATCAAAAAAGTATGAAAGTGAAACAAAAAGAAATTTTTGAAAAGACAACACAATACATCCGTATTACAAAAAGATCATAGAAAACTAAATAATAAAATAATTATTTAAACTATAAACTAAATTGAGTAAATCAGCTAAATTCAAAAATAAAAGATTATACAGAGTTTTAAAAGACTAAAACAGCAATACCGATTAGCTAACACACGAACACCAGAGCGAAAGTATGGATGGACTACTCGACATTTTGCTAATAGCCAATGTTTGGATGCACCCTAAAAAACTCATTAGCAAAGTTTGAAATTACCTGTAGCGCACACCGCATCTTTTATTGGGCTGGAATTTGTGAAAATTGTAGACTTATAAATTCCCACTGTCGTCCATCCGCTTGTCCATCCGTAATCTCGAGAATAGAGTTAGATAAATGAAAGCCGAGACCAGATAATGAAATGATTATGGGCAGTAGGTCCCGATTAATCTTATAATAAAATAGAGATAATAATAATTATAATAAGCGCAGAGCCCAAATGGTTAGGAGTTGAAAGTTAAAATTTGGTACGCAGATAGGGTACACCATGAGAATGTACTGTACAATAATATAGAATTACTGGAAATACCCCCACGCGAGAAAGAGGAAGAGAGTTAATGGTTATCCTGAAGTACTCTGCTTCTACTGTACTATTTTACGTGCGATTGTTTGCGTTTTTGAGAAAAATCGATCATACTTTTAGACCGATCCAAAAATCCTATATTAGAGTACTGTACATTCTCATGGCGTACCCTATCTGTGTACCAAATTTTAACTTTTAACTCTTAACCGTTTGAGCTTTGGCTTCTTATTGTTATCATCAACCCATCTCGATTATAAGATTTAATGTTAGAGCCAAAGCTTCGCTAACATTCTTCTGCTTGTTTGCTAATCCTCATCAGTCCAAATGCAATCAATTGCGTAGCGACGTTTGAAAAATACTGAAAATACAAGAAATATACATTTTAATAGTAAAATTTAATAGATTCGACGCCCGCTCTATATAAGTTACCATGAAAATTTCGTTTCTTAATCTTTGTTCTTTCCTGAGATATTAAACGAAATAGACGTTAACACACACATTCATATACGGAATTTTTTTTGGTTTTTACACTTTTCTGGGTTCAAACATTTGCAAAAAAGCCAGGTGTTTCGATTTGCTACGATTCCAATACTTTTCCTTGTTATGTATATGTTAGGGCAAAGATCGAAAACAATCGCTGAACGAAAAATCAACCACAACGAATTTTGACTTTCCAGATCCACTCACAATGCGAATTTCGAGTCGTGTCACTTTCAAAAATGTGCACAATGAGTTTGTGACATACAATAAGACCAAAAGGCAAAATATATAGATTCTTTTAATTAAAAATCAACCAAAACGCTATCTGCCAACGTGAAAATGTCGCAACGCGAAATTCGCATTGTGGCTGTATGTGATAATTTAGAACCGGATTTTGTCGAATTTTTCGTTCAATGAACGTTTTAGGTCTTTGAATCTAACATAAACATAACAGCCGGGAAATTAAAATTGTTGATATTTTATAATTAAAAATTGAAAGCAATTTTGCTCGTTTAGAAAAATAACAATTGTTCCAATGAGTTTACCTTTGAAAAATTTCTTAATTATAGGAGAATTTTGTTTTTTTTTTTCCAAATCACGAAATAGATATATTTTAGGTCTTTGAATCTAACATAAAGATAACAGCCGGGAAATTAACATTATTGATATTTTATAATTAAAAATTGAAAGCAATTTTGCTCGTTTATGGAAATAACAATTGTTCCAATGAGTTTACCTTTGCAATGTTGTTGTTTATATTCTTTGAAAAATTTGTTAATTATAAGAGAATTTTTTGTTTTTTCAAAATTACGAAATAGATATATAAAAATCAAAGATATTAGAATATATTAAAATCTCCTAAAAAACTATTTGTACTTTATTGCGGATCGGTAATTGAGAAATTTTACGCGGAAATCTCGGAAAGAAACATTACTTAATACAGTCTTAATAGATTTCACATTGGTAAAATTCTATTTATAATATAATCTTGAAATGCTAATTTGGAAAGAGACAATTTTGCATTTATTAAAAAGAAAATGGCTACTTACCTATGGTCAGGAAAGCAACAGCAACGTTCGCATCAACGTATTCTACATTACAATGTAACAGTAAACCGAAGGCAGCTACTGTTCCCAGCAAGGGACTGAAATAGGCAGCAATTCCAATCAACGGTTTACTTCTTACAGCATCGAACGTTAAACAAGACGCGAAAGAGAATGATGTCATAATGACTCCAGAAATAAGTAAAAGTGGGAAACTTAACTCGGTGTTTCTGTTCGCTTCTACGTCGTTAGTTTGTCCAGCGTACGTAAAAAATTCAATATGTTGAAGCTTTACATTGGTTAACGTCTCCAAAACTGCTCTTTCCCATTTTAAAGCCAACTTTCCTTCTCTTGAGTTATTATCCAACAAGTAAATCAGACGGAATGCTTTGAAATCTTGGACGTAGCCGTCTTCATTTGTTGATACTCCTCCGAAATTTACAGCAGTTAATTCTACTTGGAATTGTTTTCTGTCGTAAGGGTATCTTTGTAAAAAGGAAATGGAAATGTATTGTTAAAACTAAAAGAAAGTAAAAAAAAAATGCTGATAATTCTTCAGTAACATATTAATTATATTAAAGTGCATTTAAAAAATAATTTTACTAATGAAAAAAATCCTTCATTTTATTGATATAAAAAATGTAAATTTATGATACTGTATTTATATACTTAGATGCTAAGAAATTTTATATTTATATATTGGAAAATACTTTCAGTATGAAAATATGTATTATTTATCATTAATTATATTATCAAAATCGGCTACTTGTTTTTGTTTTTTAATTTCGAAGTGAAAATATTATTTCATTTGAGGTTTGGTCGACTAATCTTGACAACTTTACAATGTTTTTTTGTATATTAATTAATAATTAAATATTAATTGTTTTTAAGTTTTGTGTATCAGAAATAGTACGTGCAAATGTATATATACATCTTTATATATATCAGCAATAAATAAATTGAAGCGAATTCATAAACTTCGCTGCATTGAATTATTGAGCTTACTCAGATTTTCGTTAACAGAATGAAAAAATAATTTATAAAAAGTTAATATTTTTACAAAGTAAAACCGAGTTTAGAACTAAAAACTTTAAAAAGTAATCTTGTTTTATCGAGAAATATTGGCCTAAAATCACTTGTATATTATCTATGCGGCTGAAGTTTTAAAACGTCATCTATTATGTGAAATATCGAAAATAATAAGTATAAGTAAATATAACCAAATATAGAATTTAATCATGCATGTGTATAAATTCACAGTAATAATGTACATGGTAAAGTGGCTCTACTCCATTAATCCTCATCTAATTCTCAGAAATCATGACCAATAAAGTACTTATTTTTATTTTTTATTTTTTAAATATAGACCTATTAAAATTATTTACTTACTAAACTTATAAATAGTAGCTATCTCTAATATTCTTTTGATTTATTTGAAATGTGTATATCGTAATATAGGTTATATCATACGAAATAATACCAAAACTTTTCCTTGTACAATATACAATAAAAAAACAATACCTCATAAAATTTCTTCCCTGTTTAAAATCTTTCATTCTTCTCATTAAAAAGGAAAGGTAATTGCTCGGACATCGATTTTGTTTGTTCCGAACACAGAGATCTTCATAGCGTAAGAAACTATTATTCCAAAATACGCTAACATTTCGAATAATTTTATCCAGTTTCACCAAATCTAATACAGCATTATCATTCAAAAGGGAATCGTTGTTTTTAGATAATGCTATAACGAATACCGCATTCTCAAATCTAACCATTCTGGTGAAATCAAGATTAGCAGACGTATTCAAAGTAAAAATTGATTCTACAGAATTCCTTTCCACCTTTCCTCTTCCATTAATCGGAGTATACAGATATTCGCCTTTCTTCACAATATGTAATTTGAAGAATCCAGTTGCCAGGACAATTGTTGTCAACACGAAAGCATAAATGTAGAACTGAGGATAACAACCGATATGATATCCAATTCGAGAAAAACAATGAGAAAAGTTGCTTCTGGTATTCTTCATTGTTATTCTATAAGAAAAGTATTAAATATTAATACTGACTTTTATCAATATGTTAAAATTTATCTATTTAATAATAACAACATAAATATTTACAATTTATGAATTTACAAACTTGCATGTTATATACTGTATGTTATACCTTATGTTAATATATAACATAAGGTGGATATTGAACTGGATATTCGATTAATAAACAGCATATATAAATAAACTAGATGAGCCCGGGCAAAATATTATAACTATAAAGTCTAAAATTATTAGATTATTTCGTGTTTCTTACCCTTATATTATATTATATTATTTGATGTATATAACTACTGATGTTATCTTAAGTAAGGGTTTATCACACCAAGTGACAAATCTAACACATTTTTAAATTCTTATAACCTTTGTAGTTATATAATTTAAATACAGTAGTATAATATAAGAAATATCAAAACAAAACCATAAAAAAGAGTTTCGTTACTTCAGCCTACTATTATGACAATGGTACTGTACGTTTATCGCGATATTCGGGTGGTACGAAATGGCATAATTTCATCATTCAAGTAGACACCAATAGAAAATACATCTTGAAAAATTTAAGATATCATATTTTTTTCCCAATGTCAACTCTAAGAAACTGTAGTATTCGCAACCGAATATCAATTGGTAATCTGCCAACGAATCAAATTTCGAAAAACGGACAAAATATTATAATAAATTCGGTACCCTCGAAAACCACTTAAACCATATTTTATGCTTTCAGATAATCTTGTATAAAATAATTTTACTATTCGAATGTCACCATACTTGTGGTCCGATAGAAAGAAGGAACTGTTGCGAAAGGGGATCAAAACAATTTGACCAAAATTAGCCGTTGACCTTTTTCCGGAAGAGAGGGTGGACAACGACTACTAATTAATATCGGTCTACTATTAATATGTGAAAAGTGATCCGTGTTACACAGGTTGTAATGTCCTCGCATGTAATCGAAGTTGCTAACCTTAACGCTCGAAAAACCATATGACTTATAGGGCCGCAATTTGAAAAAATTGTACATCTGTAAATTTCCACTGTCGTCCGCCCACCTGTCTTTCCCTAATCTAGAGAATGGAGTTAGATATATGAAAGACAGGACCAGATATAGAAAGCGTGGGGACAGGAAGCCCCGATTAACTATATCGTGTGATTTCAATTCAAATGTTTTCCCCACAACGAAGTTAACAGATGACCGGCATGACTCTATTGTTAAAGGAAAAGTACGATGTACACAGGCAAGACGCTAATATTTTGAGTTAGAGAGCATATACTTTAAATTAAATAAATTAAAACAGTAATTATTTACTGCGACATCGTTACAATTCCTGGCTGCAATTTTTAATTTATTAAATTTAAAGTATATGCTTTCTAACTCAAAATATTAGTGTCTTGCCTGTGTAGACCATACTTTTCTTTTAACAATAGAGTCATGCCGGTCATCTATTAACTGCTTTCAGGGGAAAAGTTTTGAATTGAAATGACGTGGCTTCTGATTTGTATTAGAAGTTCGTATATGTTAATCGGGGTCTTCCACTTCTAAAGTTTCCATACCTGGTCTCGGATTTAATCTATCGAACTACATTTTCGAAATTGAGAAATGGGAGACAGGCAGACGACGGTGAGAATTTACATGTCTACAATTTTTTCAAATTTCAGCCCGAATATGATTAAAATTGCAGTCCGGCATTGTGAATATATCACAATAATCATTCGTTAGGATTCGTTTGGTTGCGACACTTGAGCGATCTGCTTGGGGGTGCATCCCAGGAATACTTACGGGAAGATGCATCCTATTTAGGTGTTACTAGTAGTAGTGGTTTGAGTAGCACTAATCACAAAATTAATTTTTCGATCACAAATCTTAATTTAATTAATTTTATTTTAACAATAAGGCAAAGTTTTTGTATTAGTTATTAAATGTGTTAATATCGAATAAAATTAAAACACAATAATTGTATGAAATAATATAACAACAAGGCAAAGTTTTTGTATTAATAATCAAATGTTTTAATATCGAATAAAATTAAAACACAATAATTGTATGAAATAATATAACACCAAAACGAATTTTTTTTTATTTTTACACAAATAGATCAAATAAGTTTTATTTAAGTTTTTCCAGTTTTTTCATTCACTTTATCTAAAACATGACATTACTCATGGTCTAATTTCTGATATTTTATAAATTAAGATTTCAAATAATCTGTCGAATAATAGTTTTATTATCAATACTAGAATTAATTATTTTCTTGATGGATATTTGTTTTAATATTCGGTACATGACAGTTTGAAATAATATAACACTGAAATTATTTTGAAAAGGTTTTTATTTTTACATTACGGTTTATTTAAGTGTTTCCACTTTTTCCTTCAGTTTATCTAAAGCAAGATATATTTCTACACATAATAATTTTTCAGGATATAAATTATTTTCAGATCAGAAATTTCTCAAGTAAATAAATTTTATAAATAATTATAATATTTATAAAACTTCTCAATTCATTTCTTAAGAAAAGATTTTCAGTGCAATTCATTGCTTCATATAAACTTAATTTTCGATAATAATTTTTACAATTTGTACTAATATCCGATGTGGTTGAGAATTATTAATATATATTTGCAATTTTCTTTG